GGGAGAGAGAGAGAGATAGAGACATCAATGATGAGAGAGAATCATTGATTGGCTGCCTCTTGCATGCCCCACACTGGGGATCGAGCCCCCAACCCGGGCATGTGCCCTGACCAGGAATCGAACCTGGGACCCTTCAGTCCGCAGGCTGATGCTCTATCCACGGAGCCAAACCAGCTAGGGCTGTGTAATAGTTTCCAAAAACATTTCTTTTTATTTTCACTGTAGTATGTCCTCCTGTCCAGCTATGCCTACTGTCCTGTGGGTGGGGCTTACATAGGTCAATCATTTGAGAAGGGGAAGGAAGATTGCTCAGCCCGATAACCTGGGGGGTGGGATCTGAGAATCGGATTCCTTTTGCAGCCAATACTGGTTGAAAATTGATGCATGTCTGATAGTCGGAGATGTCTGGTGCACCCAATTTCTGGTCTTTTCCTCTTGTAAATTGACTTGCTTCCTCCGGCCTATAAATTTGAAGGGTGCTGATGTGTTAAATCCCATACTACTGGGCCATCTGCTTTCAATCTCTCAGTATTTAGATATTCTTTGTCTGTTGTCATCTCCTCTTCTGTTTCCTCTATGTGAAGATTTATACGTGGCCCTGGCCAGTTTGGCTCAGTGGATAGAGCGTTGGCCCTCGGACTGAAGGGTCCCGGGTTCGATTCCGGTCAAGGGCACGTACCTCGGCTGCAGATTCCCCGGCCCTGGTCGGGGCACGTGAAGGAGGCAACCCATCGCTTGTTCTCTCTCACATCGATATTTCTCTCTGTCTCTCCCTCTCCCTTCCACTGGCTCTAAAAATCAATGGAAAAAAATATGGTTGGGTGCGGATTAACAAAAAAAGGGAAAAGAAGATAGAAGATCTGGAAGTATTTTAAAAAGTCTTTGCCGTCATTTTGCAGGGAGTTTCTGGAGCGATCACAGATGAGCGCCGACATTCAATCTTCGGTGCTTATACCGAAATCCTTCCCATTAAGATCTTACGGGCATTGGAAATTCTATTAGCGGGAGATTGAGTCCTCCATTTCATAATTAGAAAAATCCCAGGGAGACGCGGCGCATTAACTCATCATTATAAATGGCTGTGATGCTTTCCTCTTCTTAATTGACCCCCAATTCAGAATTAATTGCTCCCGTATCCCTGTTATTATCTCCTTCGCGTGTTTGTGGTGTCTGGTTGGCCGGCCTCAGAACCGAGCTCTGAAGGCGGTGGGATTCTGTTTTAAGGCGCTTGCTTCTGCGTGTGAGCGTCCGACGGCACCCATCACGGTGCTCGGTGCGAAGAGGTGGCCTCGCGCTGGCCTCTTCGGTAACGTGGGCGGATGCACAGTCAGAATTAGCGGGAGGGCTTTCGGTTGTGGCAGGACTGTTTCTCACCCGTGGGCGAGCAACTGGAACCAGATGTGGGCCGCGAGCCCAGCCTTTCCTCCAGGTCTGTTCCAGGAGTTGATTGATGATTGGGTTTAGACGCCGGCACTGGGAGCAGATGGGACCTGCGAGTGATGATACAATAACAGTATTACTTTAGGTTTCTATAGTTCTTTCATTGCTGAAGGTGTTTCCTACCCATCTGTATGTTGTTGTTGTTGTTTTTTTAAAAATATGTTTGTATTGATTTTAGAGGGAGAGGAAGGGAGCGGGAGAGAGAGATAGAAACATCCGTGATGAGAGAGAATCATGGATCGGCTGCCTCCTGCACGCCCCCTACTGGGGATCAAGCCCGCAACCCAGGCATGTGCCCTGACCGGGAATCGAACCCTGACCTCCTAGTCCACTGGCTAACACTCAACCTCTGAGTGACGCTAGCCGGGCTTTTTTCATTTTATTTTTAACGATGACTAGTTACATCCAATGAGAACACCTATGAAAATCAAAAGAAGTGGTCCCCTCACACCCCCCCAACCCCCGCCCCTCGTACCTTTGCAATTTTCAGTGGGGGGAAAAATACCAATGCTTATCTTTATTATTTTTTTTATAAGCAAAGCAAGACTTCAAACTATTTGAAGGATGACTCCCTTTTCAGAAGTTAGAGGCACTGCGTGTCTTGCCAGCCAGTCAGAGCTGTCCATCTGCTGGCCTCCCACGTGGAGGGAGCAGCTGTCGCTTCAGCAGATAATAAGATGGGGCGCGTCTCGCCCTCAGATGCCCGAACCAATCCCGGGGAAGAGGCGCGGCGGTGCCTTTGGTGGCGTCTTTGGCGGCGTGCACCTCCGCGTTATTAACACGAAGTGCCAAATGCGTTTGGAGGTTGGACGCACGTAAACTCGCTTTTCAGGGAAACACTCCAGGTGGGTGCAGCACCTGTTGTCATTATCCGTCGTTGCAGAGACAGAGGAATGGCGGGCGCCATGTGCTCACACAGAGATGCTCCCGTAACCATGGCCATGCGTGGAACCCCGAGCGTCCCAAATCCCCATGACCCCTGGGTACCACAGGGCTGCCGCCGCCCCTGCGCAACCAACAAAATTTACCCCAAACTAGCAGCTCCCCTAGGTCTCACAATGGCCCAGTTTCTCTCCGAGTCGTTTTCTCCGATTAAGGGAAGCTCTGGGTGCTATCGCAACCCAGAGGAGCAGAAGGTAATGTACTTAGATCATCTTAGATCCCATCCTCCCCTTTGCACTGTTTAACAGCCCAGAATCCAATCAGCAATTTGTATTGGTTATTGCTTTTCAATCTTTGGGATGGATGGATGGATGGATGGATGGATGGATGGATGGATAGTTGGGTGGGTGGAAAGATAGGTGGATGGATGATGGATGGATGGATGGATGGATGGATGGATAGTTGGGTGGATGGAAAGATAGGTGGATGGATGATGGATGGATAGTTGGGTGGATGGAAGGGTAGGTGGATGGATGGGTGGGTAGATGGATGGATGAATAGATGGATGATGGATGGATAATTGGGTGGATAAATAGATGGATGGAAGGATAGGTGGATGGATGGATGGATGGATGGATGGATGATGGATGGATGGATGGATGAACAGATGGATGATGGATGGATAGATGGATGAATAGGTAGATAATAAAAGGATAGGTAGATACATAGATACATAGATAAACCCATTTAAAATGATATTATGAGAACTCCGATGAAGGGACTCTCTGGATGCTATTGCAACAAAGAGGAGCAGAATGTAATGACCGGGGGTCAGGGGAAGTCTCTCTGCAGAGCTAACCTCCTCAAGGTTGAACAGGCGGGAAGGCATGGAGCCGAAGGGAGTCCTGATACCAGGACCGCAGACACGGCTGTTCAGAGGGAGCTGTGAGCCATCTGATGGGGGTGGGGTATGGAAGGACAAGAGTAGCAGGGGGTGGGGGGAGGGGGCGGGGCAGGACTAGAAGATGCAGATGGGATCCTGCCCCTTCCAGTAGGGGGCACCTTCCTCGCCCGACCTACTGAGCAAATGGCACCTTACTTAGCAGGACTGTCAGGAGCCGCCCCTGAGCGTGGGCTGTACCTGCTGGTGACCATGGACTTGTAGGATGTCCTTACCTGCAGCTTAGCATCTCGGTTTCCTTCCGTCTGCAATGCAGTCATCACTGTCCCCAGCCAGGGGGGTTGCCCACCTCCATCTCCCAGCAGAGGGGAGCGTACGCTCTCGAGCTCATTTCCAGCACTAATATTCCGTGACGATGTCTTCGGAAGAGAGACTGTGGCTGTCCGGGTAGATGTCAAGCTTGCTCCGTCACCTACAAGGATGGGTAGGAAGCCACGTGATCGGAGCAAGAGGCCTCGTGGTTTTGCAGAGACAGACAGGCTTGGTCGGGTGTAATGCTTAGTTCCTGGCGATACCATCTTGGGCCATTTTTATTCAGTCCTTTTTAAGCCTCGGTGTCTTCACGGGGGTGCAGTCATATCCACCCGGCAGAGATCGGGGCCCAGCGGGAAACATCATTTCTAAGCCGCCCAGCAGAATCGATGGAGCTCAACTTATTTGTAGAACGGAAGCTCTCAGAATCAAGAGAAATTCTCAAAATGCGTGCGTTCTCTGTGGGTGTACAGAGGGGGGAACTGCAGGTCCTGAGTTTGATGATCCGCCCTGGCCGGTTTGGCTCAGCGGATCGAGCATTGGCCCCCAGACGGAGGGGTCCCGGGTTCGATTCCGGTCAAGGGCATGTATCTCAATTGCAAACTCCATCCCTGGCCGTGGTTGGGTCATGTGCAGGAGGCAACCAGTTGGTGTGTCTCTCTCGAATCAATGTTTCTCTCTCTCCCCCTCCCTTCCAGTCTCTCTAAAAATCCATCAATGTTTCTCTCTCTCTCTTCCCCTCCCTTCCAGCCTCTCTAAAAATCAATGGAAAATTAGCCTCAGGTGAGGATTAACAACAACAACAAAAAAACTTTGATAACCCGGCCAACATGGCTCAGTGGTTGAGCCCATGATTCCCGGTCAGGGCACATGCGTGGGTTGCAGGCTCCATCCCCAGTGTGGGGCGTGCAGGAAGCAGCCGATCCATGATTCTCTCTCCCCATCGATGTTTCTTGTCTCTCTCTCCCTCTCCCTTCCTCTCTGCAATCAATGAAAAATATATTTAAAAATAAACAAAAAACTTTGGCCTTAGCTGCTTTGGCTTAGTGGCTAGAGTGTCAGCCTGTGGACTGATGGGTCAGGGTTCGATTCCCAGTCAGGGCACATGCCCGGGTTGCGGGCTTGATGCCCAATAGGGGGCGTGCAGGAGGCAGCCGATCCATGATTCTCTCTCAAAACGGATGTTTCTCTCTCTCGCCCCTCCCCATCCCTTCCTCTCTGACATCAATAAAAATATATTTTAAAAAAATGTGATGACCCAATACCCAGTTAAACAGGGTGCCCGGGCCTTTTGTGGGCCGTGAGAGTAATCAGGACACTTCCGGAAATCAAAGGACTTCTACAATGGATGGCAACTGGGCAGGAGCTCGAGGGAAGCTGGCTTCCTCGGTTTAATTGCGGGCCTTGTTGACGGTAATTTTCTCAAGTGATTTTCTCCTAAATGCGTCTTTATTTGTCCCCGCAGTCACAGATGCTCCCTGCGGGGGGAGGACTTGAACCGGCAGTGGCTGGCGCCCAGCGCCCAGCTCCAGCCAACCATCTACCACGCCAAGGGCCTGCTCTACTACCTGCACAGCACCGGCCGCAGCCCCGTGGTGAGTCCTCCACCTCCGTGTTCTAGGCTGGGTCCCTCCGCCTCCCGGGAGGCCGACTGCTTTCTGTGAAGGCAGGGGTGGGGGACGTCCGGCCCGTGGGCTGGATAAGGCCCGAGAGAGCATTTGGTCTGGGGGCAAGTTAATTGAATGTGGACCAAACACAGCAGGCTGGTTTTTAGGTTGATAAATGTGTGCGGCCTGTGAATGGTGTTATAAATACCCAAATGGCCCGGCCGGTGTGGCTCAGTGGTTGAGCGTCAGCCTAGGGACCAGGAGGCCGCTGGTTCCATTCCGGTCAGAGCACATGCCCGGGTTAGGGGCTCGATCCCCAGGAGGGGGCGTGCAGGAGGCAGCCGATCAGGGATTCTCTCTCATCACTGATGTTTCTCTCTGTCTCTCTTCCTCTCTCTGAAATCAATAGAAACATATATTTAAGTAAATAAATATTCAAATGGCCCTTGGCCGGGAAAAAAAGGTTCCCCACTCCCTGTGTTAAGGCAAGAAAACCAGACACAAGCCAAAGAAGTGTGCATGCCAAGCTGGAATAGGGGCCGAAGTCATCTCCTAGGGCTGCCGTGACAATGCACCACTTAGAGCAACAGAAATACACTCTCTGGCATTTCCAGAGGCTAGAAGTCTGAAATTAAAGGTGTCAGCAGACCACGACCTCGCTGAAGGATCCAGGAAAGAACGCTTTATTGCTGCTTCTTCCTGTGTCTGTGTACCAATGTTCCTTCTCTTTTCTCACTTTTTAATTTTTTTTAACATGTATTGATTAATTCGAGAGAGAGAGACATAGACATCAATTTGGTGTCCCACTTTGTTATGCATCCATTAGTTGAGTTTTGTGTTGCAAAGAGAGCAAGGCATCTCTTTCCCCCTTAGGATTCCTTGTTCAGCCCTGGCCGGGGCTCAGTGGTTAGAACGTCATCTGGTGAACCGAAGAGTCATGGGTTCAATTCCCAGTCAAGGGCACGTACCTTGGTTGCAGGTTCCCTTAACCCGGTAGAGACACGTGCAGGAGGCAGCCAATCGATCTCTCTCTCTCTCTATTTCTCTCTCCCCTCTCCTTCCTCCCTTCCACTCTCTCTAGAAATCAATGGGAAAAATATCCTTGGATGAGGATTTTAAAAAAAATAGGAGCCTGACCAGCGTGGCTCAGTGGTTGAGCATCGACCTATGAACCAGGAGGTCATTGTTCGATTCAATTCCTAGTCAGGGCACTTGCCCGGGTTGCAGGCTCGATCCCCAGTAGGGGGCGTGCAGGAGGCAGCCGGTCCATGATTCTCTCTCATCATGGATGTTTCTCTAGCTCTCTCCTCCCTTCCTCTCTGAAATCAGTAAAAATATATATATTATATATTATATATATAAAGAACCCTTGTTCCATTCCATCCTAGTCAAATTGTGCAATATTTCATGTTGCCCTCCCCCTCCCCTCCGAGGAGACATGTGGTCCAGGCTGTCTCCCCTCCAGAAGCAAGTCCATGGCCGAGGCCTGGGACAGGTGTGCTCGGGGGTAGGCAGCCTCGGCCGCTGGGACAAGAGAGAGGTTTCCAGGGAAGGAGGCCCCCACCTGACATCCAGTTAGACACACACACTCCGCTCATCGCTGACAGGGCGCCTCCCTGCTCCGACAGCCTCTCACGGAAGAGCGGAGCATTTGCTGTAAAGCGCGGCAGGCGGAAGTCTCGTTTATAAACATAAAGTACACGTTAATTAACTGTCAACATGACGGCCGCCGGCGGGCTGCCTGCGGGGACCATCTGAGAGGTGGTGAGACACAGCCGGGTGTGCATTGTTCTCCGCTGGGCTCAGCGTCACCTCCCGGTTACCTGCGAGGCTGTATTTAACTGCTTCCCCAGGACGGCCGGCCGCACACCGCAGCTCACTCAGTGCCTGGAAGATTCCCACTGCGTCAACGCTGAGCCCTGGACCGTGTGGCTCAGTGGAAAGAGCGTCGGCCTGCGGACCGAAGGGTCCCAGGTTCGATTCAAGTCAAGGGCACATGCCCGGGTTGCTGCTGGATCCCCAGGAGGGGGCGTGCAGGAGGCAGCCGATCGATGATTCTCTCTTCTCCTCATTGATGTTTCTATTTCCTCTCTCCCTTTCCCTTCCTCTCTGAAATCAATAAAAATATATATAATAATGAAAAAATATCCTCGGGTGAGGATTCACAAAACAAACAAGAAAAAAAGCTGGCTCTAGGGCTGCCTGGCTGGGGACAAACGGTGCCTCTGACTGATGCAAATATTCCTGAAGCGTTGGGAAGCCACATCCGGTAGCCGGGGGTTCCACCTGGTCTAGATGGTACTCATGCGTTTCCCCGTGGCAGGTAATATCACAGGAACTCCCAGGACCAGTGGGAATGTGAGACAGTGAAAGAAAGCAGGACATTGATACTGATGGGGTTGCCAAGGGCCAGACAAGTTATTCAGTTTATGAGCAATATGGCAATGGTCACATATTCTTTCATCCAACCATCCACCCACCCACCCCTCCATCCATCCATCCATCCATCAAGAGAGAGGGAGAGGAAGAGGGAGAGAGAGAGATAGAAACACCAATGATAAGAGAGAATCATGGATCGGCTGCCTCCTGCACGCCCCCTTACTGGGGACGAAGCCCGCAACCCCAGGCCTGTGCCCTGTCCTAGAATCGAACCCTGACCTCCTGATTCATAGGTCTACGCTCAACCACTGAGCCAAGCCAGCCGGGCCTTCAGCCTTGACTGCATGTGGGTGCGCTGGCCGCGTCTGCAGGGGTCTGCAGGGCCTTGGGGAGCCTCGCTTGGCTTAATTGGAGGCCTGGCGGCTGCTGCCTGGAGTTCCCAGCACATTCCCCGGAATTCGCCGCGTCCCAGCTCCAGCCTGGCCGCCCTCATTTTCCTGTGGCGGTGGCATAAATAATGCAGATGCTTTCAGCCCAGCAGTGGGAACTAGACCCAGATGTCAGGGGTGGGGAACGCAGCCGCTTCAAGCTGGGGGGTTGAGCGGTGAACAAGGGTGAGGGGAGCACAGCCAGGGGAGGTGTGTGTGGGAAGGAGGGGGAACCTCTTGACCTCTTGACCAGGGGGCCCGTTAGCTCACAGGGGAACGGGAATGAGACCCAGGAATGGGGGTGGGGAAGAGACGGGCAGGCATGTGGAGAGCATAGCAATAGGGCTGTGCCCAGCCTGGGCTGAGCGGGAAGGGACGGTGCTCACGTTTGCACGAATGAAATTAACCTTGGATTTGGCTCCAACAAGAATTCACCGGGAAGGGTGGGGGCGGGGGGATGTGTTGGAGCCCGATTTCAGAATGGCAGTCCAGTCCACGCCGTTGTACGCGTTCGCCAAGAAAGACACGGACACAGGGGAAGCAGGGTGGCCCGGGGGGAGGGGGGTCAAACCTCACCACGCCAGCTGAGGACAACAGAAGAGAAACGGAGGTTTTCAATCCGCCGCTTCCTGTGCTCCGCCCCTTGGGGGGAAACCACAATCATATTGTTTATTCGCTTAATCCGGAAATTCCAGTGTTTGACCTCACCTGGAGCCCCTGAATCTACTTAGTCTCTGATGCTTATAGAATTAACTTCCTTACTCCCTCAGCAAACGTCCTTTTTTTTTTTTTATAAATACGTTTTTATTGATTTTTAGAGAGAGAAGAAGGGAGAGGGAGAGAGAGAGAGAGAGAGCAAAACATCAGTGAGAGAGAAACATCAT